GACTTAACACCCCAAATTAAACATGGAGAAACACATCTCCCAGCACACCAATACTCAGTTAATTACAAGAAAAATGAGAAACACATAAAAGTACATTTTTAAAAAAACTAAACTACAATTCAGAAAGATTTAAATAAAGATATGGGCTGATATTACAGATATATTTCAGTATAAAGGATATGAAGCTCCCATTTCCATCTGAGTCTCCTTTGGAAGGGGCTGGTACCAGTGTGATATGGCACTATCAAGGCACATTCCCTCTGCTGGTGTCCCAGGACATCATTCACATTCAGCAGGGTGAACACCAAAGGGTGTTCACAGCCAGTTCCTCTGATGATCAGCCTATCCCATGAAACCTACACCCCTCTCCACTCCAAAAGCATGAAAGCTCAGGCCAGCTATAAAGGATGCAAAAGCATCAACACACATAATCTCTTCTATTTCGCAGAATTTTTAGCAATTGTTATATTACAATAAAAGCTAAATCACCCCCAGCCTATGCCTCTCTTGGGTTGTTAAGGAAATTTTCTTTAATGACTCTTTAATTTCAAATCACCAAAGACCAAAATTCAGCATGACAGTAGGTAGCCTGATGCAATAAACATATATATTCATAAAGACTTCAGTTCCATTAAGGCTTTACTATCAATAAACAAGGAATATAAAGTTTATATTCTGGTAAATGTGGAGGAAACAATTTCCTTTGTAGAAAGTTCTGTAGCCAGAAGGCAGCTCAGAAAAAAAATCCTTTAGGCTCAGCTTCTTCCTCCCCTCCCAGACTCACTTTCACCTTTGTTCTGATCCAGCCATAATGCAACTTCATCTGATGTTGGAAGTGAGGTATTTTCCTCTTTATGATAAACAAATGATCTCACAACCACAGGACCATGATTTCACTGCACAACAAGAGGGTATCTGATGCACAGAATGAAAGTTATCCTTCAAACATAAACAGAAGAAATAATTGCAAAAGTAAAACAGATGAACAACCACATAAATTAATTCCTTCTTGAATCACTGCTCCTGTTGTCCAAGTCCAAATGATTCTCTTTTCCTATTTAGGAACCCTGAGGGGATGAAAAAATATCCAAGATGGTGAAATTAAAAATTAGCTATTGAGCATGAAACATGCAATGACTGCACTTCATAACGCTTTTATTGCCTCGGTGTTGTATGAATCACTTCAGAGTTCCACACTGTTATGATGAAAAAAATGACACCAATAAAGTCTGAGCAATTGATGTTATGACTTCATCAATCCGAGACTAAATGCACGCACAGAATGACAAATATTTTCAAGAGTATGGAGAAAGCTACCACCTCATTCTGAGCAGGCACAAGTTGTCTTTGTCTCCTTCAGAAGAGAATTCTCATGTCAGAAAGATGGAATATTGAAATAATCCTCAGTACAGCTCCCTGTGACACAACCTTGCTTTCCCGTTCTGAAACCAGCCAGATTTGGTGTTTTCAAGAGCTATGAACACAGCTAATACACAGTGAAGCTACAGCTAATACACAGTGTTCCCAATTCACACAATTCTCTCAGGTTCTGCTTCAAGATTGTATCATTTTAACAATGAACTTCACTTAGCTTTAATTTTTAAAAGTCTATAGATTCTGGAAGTATGAAGTAGAATTATCTTTACAATTTCACTAAATCCCAAAAAGTTCAATTTATTGCTACTTAAACCTTCCAAGAGGATAATAATCTCTGCTTAAGACAACAAAGCAGCCATCACAGTAATCTCTCAGATACAACATCAAAGGTAAGGTGCAAAGAAGTGACCTCACACAGGGAGAATGCACCTGCTTTTGACAGCCAACAACAGCTACCCAATGCAACCTTGAATTCCTACTTAGAGTTCAACTTTGATGTAAGTATTTTACTGTTTTAAAAAAAACCCTCTCATCTCTGTAAAGCACCAGTAAATCCAAGCCTGTTCTGGAACAGCAGAAATTAACAATTTTTTCCCCCTCTCTAATAAATACTAGCTTTCTTTTTTTAATTGAGTGGCTAAATTTCCTGACTCAGGTATTAAAGTCCCTGGTAGGATTCTCTCCTTTAACACAATAGCTCATATCCCTTATAAAATCACTAATAGAAAATAAAGCCCTTTTTGTTAACTCTAATCTTGCTTCCTTGCAAGTGTGCCAGAGGCACTTTAATATGGATCAGATCATGAATATCACAAATTACTGCAGCAATGTGTGGCAACAGAAGATCAGATTATTCATATAACAACAATACCTCCTTCCTGCTTTGATTAAAAAGAGAATAAACTGTCACTTCCTCTTGAATCCATGTCTTTCCGATCCTTACAAATCCAGGTTTACAGTATGAGGTAATGGTACAGCACAAACCTTAGAATGATGAATGAGGGGTATTACAGGGTGTAATAAAACCTACTTCATTTTCTGTCAAAACTCTCTCCTGTTTCTTGTGATGTACAGGTATGAAGTTAGCCTAGAGCAGAAGAAGTTAGTAGGGACTATTTTCTATAAAGTTTTCTATGGTAGATTCACAGCAGACAAAATATGAACAAAGCAAACTATGTACAGACAAGCACAATTATGGAAAAATTAATGTACCAACAAGAACAGCCCTGGCCATAAACGCAGTGTAGGAAAATGAAATGAAACTCACAGTTAATTTATATATCAGTTTTGCAATGCAGAAAAGCACACCCCATTAAAGTTCCTATTTTTCTTGGGTATTTCTGGAACATAGAACTGCAGCCTATTTCCCTACTTCAAACAGACACACTGGGAAACAATTATACAACCTTGATGCTGGTTCATGGGGAGAGAAAGACAAGAGTAATGACCAAATGCAAATATAAAATGTTATTCACACACTCATTACCTCCTGCAGAGCCCCCAGCATGCTGCCATACAATCACAGTGTGCAAAAATTGCTTATTATTAGCAAAAAAACTTATTTCCAGTATCCAAAGACTTAGCTCAAGTTGTAATATGATGAACAGGTGTTCTACCTTCAATATGTCCTACTCCTTTAACAAGGCTCAGGAAAGTTTTGAGTGACACATTGGCCACCATTTGCCCAGTCCAATGGATTTCATAGCCCCCATTGACACTACGTTTCAAAGGGAACTGAACTTTTTTGTGCCACCCAAATACCCCTGTTGAACTCAAATGAAAACTAACCTGGGCTGATGAAATCTCCAGGAAAATCTTAATGAAGCCTTCCAAGATATTGTGCTGAAGGAGAACATTTAAATTCTTCAGAAAAATGTAGTATTAACATCTGATGGGATGAGCATGTCAAGGAGAACCTTAGAAAGGTGATACTGCTTTTGCAAAAGGAATTAGCACCTCTGATTTTTGGGGCCAGGCTGAAGTCCTAACTCTAATTAAATTCTAAGCTGCTTTTTCCAGCTTTCATAAAATGCTGTCTCAAATAGGCTTATCTTCTAAGAAGTACAGCTTGATCTTCTCATTAAAGAATGTGTTACAATAGAAACACATTAGTACTAAAGCCATAAAAGACTGAAGAAATTATGGACATTTTCCCCAAAATAGTGGGTTGCCTTAGTATCATTTAAAAAAACCCCAACCCTGTACGTTCACAAGGCTGCCTGAAAAGGGGAAACTTGCTGTTTAAATGTTTTTTCAGTGTTACCTCTATTTGTTCTTTTTAATTAATAAAAGGATACATGTACTGACATTTTAAGCACTAATTTACTATTTAGCATCCCAAATTAGGACGCATAAACATTTATGCACTTCATTAAACACTACCTAAGAACACGCTTGATATTAGCAGGAAACAAGGGAGGCTGTTCAAAGAAACTTCAGGGCACACTGGAAAAACACTCTCCTGCTCTTTCCACCCCTCACCACAAAAGCTCTGGCTCCATCCTACAGGAAGCAGCTGCTGAGAAATGAACCCTGGAAATCAGTGGGATCTGACATACCTGTTCAACCACACCTGTGGGGCTAAGGGAAGGGGCAGGAATGCAGGTGCACCACTCTGAAAATTTGGTGCTCCTGTTTGGCAGCACAGCTTGAGGTTGGTGCAAGGCAGCCCTGAAAGTGGACTTTAGAAAGTATAGAGCAAACAGTCACAAGTTAAGACATTGATTACATACAGGTGAAGTACAGGGAGAAACAGCCTGCTGTTTGTCTCATCCCTTCCAAGAGAGGCAGGGCAATTCTAGCACACCTCCTCCTCTTCCTCTCCCCTCCTTTTTTTCCATCCACCGAGCCCTTTAAAGAATTACAGAATCATTTAGGTTGGAAAATACCTTTACGATCATCAAGTCCTGGCATTCACCCAGCACTGCCAATCCCACCACTGAACCATGTCCCCAAGTGCCACATCTATACCTTTTATCATTTAAATACTTCCCTGCAAGGAGAGTCCACCCCAGCAGCCTGCTCCTTTCCACATTATCTACATTTACAGGATACTGAAAAAGCCTTCACCTCAGGGTGAACCAGTGCTACAGGAAGGTGCTAAGAAATGGGAAGTTTTTTAAAACTACAGGAAAGAGAACTGCAGTGGTAGTAGAAAAGAAACAAATCCTGACACTTGGGAACAGGCAGGCTGAAAGACAGATAATCACATCTGTGAGCACAGAATAAATGGAAGGTTAATCAAGATCACAAACCCTCAAAATTCATCAATCCAGACCTCAAGTTCTCTCTAAATCCTTCATGAAAGGAGAATATTTTGGTTCACTTACAGACAATAACATATAGTTCAGATGACAAATTATTTCTAAAAACTTTGCATCGCAAGTCTAACTTCAATGTAGAAAATTATTTTTATTTGTAATTAAAATTTGTGCTAAAAGTGTCCATTGTTAAATTATGGACCCAAACAAAGTTGTACTAAATTTTCTACTGTACATACTCTTGCCATAGTGTGGCAATTTTTAAATTGTTTGAAAGTACAAATACACTAAAAAGGTAATATTTCAAGAACAATAGTATGGACACACTGAGGAACTTTATACCACAACCAGAAATCTGAAGTGTCTTGGTCCCTGAAAAAGAACTGATTTCAGATTTATTTATTAAAATGAATTATTATGATTTTACAACTTACAGCTTTGGGTTCTTTGTTGCTTATTGTTTAGTTTTCAGGTTTTTTAACTGTGATGGTAATAGTGATCTACCTACAAGATAATTGAAGAAGAAACGTTCTTTGTGTATTTTTGATCAAATATATTGTTAGAGATCAAAACAAAGATTTATAAAAACAAACGATTGAAACTTCATTTCAGAAAAAAACACTTTGTAAAATACAGTAAAATCCTTTTCAATAGCAAAGTGAATTTTGTACAGTTCTTCCTTCTAAGCAGATGTTTTACTGCAGCTGAGATCCACTAACTTCAGTAAAACTCAATGCTGGGCAAATGGGTCGGTGTCCGCAGAACCACAACCAATGTACAACCGCAGGTAACAAACTGCAACTCGCAGGAGAAACCTTGGAAACTTCAGCTTTCATTGTGAGTGAACTTACAATTTATCTTACAATAGTTAAAAGCAGTTTACACCATGACAGAACCGCTCAAAAAATGATCAGTTATAGGAAGAGAGCAACGCTTCAATTCAGCTTCTCCCATCAGCAAAAATTCCACACAAATCAAAAACCAACACTTAAGTAAAACACTAAGACTTTATTAAAAATCCAAAATTTATTGCAAATTGTACTTTGCAATTTCCCTCCTTTCTTCATTTTTACATGATTTATTGATATCCATGATTTTTTCACAGATGTACTTGTTGACTTTGGAGAGTCTCTGTGCAATTTCAGTTTCATCCACAGTTTCTTGTGCTATTCTATCATACAAACATTCTGGGGAGAAAAAAAAAGGAAGAGTCATTAGAATATTTTTAGAAAACACAATAGCCTCGAGTTGGGCCGACTACCCAAGAGACAGCAGTGAGCAAACATTGTGTATATTTGTTGCAAGACAAGAGAAGCTTTCCTTGATTCACTGTCTATCTTGTTAAAATCAAGATTTGTCACCAGGCTTGAATCAATGGCATGACAACTTCCAGTTATGCTGTGACTACATTAATAGGCTTTCCATACAGAAACAAGGCTAAACCCAGCCTTTTACAGTGCCAGCCTTCCCTGCCTCACTCCTGCATTTGTCTGAAGCTCCACAGCAGATTTAGTCTCTTCCCAGGTGAAGTGTCCCACCAGAGCTGTATCCAGAGTCACTCCCACCTTCACCCCTTCAGAGAGTATGGAAATGACAATGCTGAGGAAGAGAAGCAATAACCAGCAGAACACTAACTCATTTATTTCTTTTTTCATATCTCTTCCACATACATTAATGTCCATGTCTTTATCATCTGCCCTGTCCCTGGGCTTATTTCACTTTTACTGGTGGATTATTCAGGACAAGTGCCATCTCCTTGCATGTTTGATCAATACACTTTCTGAAATACACATTATCTGGAATACAAAAAGCCAGTGATAGCAATAACTGCAAAAGCAATGTGGGCAGTGAAACTATTTTTCTTCCCAGATTTGGAAGTTTGGTGCCAGAATCCTGCAGAATTTACTGAAATCTGAAGTAGTGCAACACACACAACTCCTTAGTGAACAGGCAGGTTTGGGGTTTTTTGGTTTTCATAAACAGACCAATGTATTTTGTTGTGTAGGCTTCCCAGACTGGTTAAACAAACTGTTCTGCTTTGCCTAGTGATCTATTCCATTAGCTGTTTATTGCTTCATATACAGAAAGCCATAGAGATTATTGCTTAATTAATGTGCTTTACAACATTTCTAATGCACCATATTAAAAAGTTATGAAAATTAAGTACTATGCATGCTTTGTAGTTCATTTGGAAACCTCTGAGAAGTTTTATAAAAGGTTATTTTGCATTAACAAGGTTTATAACAGTGCACATCCATCATACTTTTTATCATTTCTTTATTACATACTACACAGTGGGGATATTTAAGAAGCTATAGAGATATCAGACACATTAAGAGCTAATGTTGTCATTCAAAAATCTATTTTAAATAAGTTAGTCTGTGTCCACAGAATGATGAGAGCATCTAAAGCAATGTGAATTTTACGTTGTAAGACGTACTGAATATAAAATAAATGAAATTAACCAGCATGCAGCCTGATAGCTGAAATGCTGATCATCTGTAAACTATGAAAACTATGGAAATATGACACCTAAGAAGAGGCACATCACTGGGAGCCTGAAGAAAGGCAGTCTGTTTGCAGGGCATAAGCTGGCCCTGCAAGAGTGTCAGGAACACTCCCAGGCAGATACACCCAGTAAGGTGAACTCCCATGAAAGACAGGCTGTGTTGTTCATTTAGCCACAAAGCCAAGCACAGAATCACTTGACAGAACTCATTCAAAAGGTGTTATTTTAAAAGTTGGTGCGAACCAGACAGATCCTCGATCACAGTTTTTCCTCTCCATCTCTTCCACTTTTGTGAGGGGGTGCAGAAATAGTAGTTTAGTACTTACATATGGATACTGGCTTAGGGCTTCAAAGAGTAATTTGGAGGTTTTGCTCCCTTGTGTTTTGGCTTTACAGGAGCACAGAGATACCCCTTTGTACTGCTGAATACCAAAAATTCAAGCAGACCTCAAAGGCTAGCCAGGACCTTCACTACTTTTCATGATGCCTGATCCAAATCACTGGCTATGGAAAGCTCCCTCAAATCTCAACTATTTGTCCCCTTGCTGGTCATTTCTTTGTTTTGTTTAGCTTTCTTCTCCATGGGGGCAAGACCTGCTGACACTGACGCAAAGGACACAACAACATGGAAAATCATGGTTATGAGCTACCCAGTCCCACTGATACAGGCAGTCTGACACCTGCAACACTGGCCATGCAGTTTAACTGGTTCAAGAGGAGACTGTACAGGCTGGAGTCTAACAAAAGGGAAATCAGAGACAAGGTGAAAGAAACACTAAAAAGAGGAACATGGAAAACCAGGGCATGTAACAGTAGAATTCAAATGAGGGTTGAGGCTTGAAGCAGAAGTATGAAAGAAAACACAGAAAAACGAGGAAATAGGGAAGAGCTGAATTGCTGGTGAGTGTGAAGGTATGGAAGAGAAGAAAGGGAAGGGCCCCATCTGCCTCTCATCATGTACCTGTCGGAGCAGACTCCCAAATTCACTGTAGTCAAAACAAGGGGAGTTAGAAGAAAGCTGTCATTTAAATGGCTCAAGTAATATAGAATAGCCCTGACAAAAGCAGAAGAGGAAATTCTCACAGAAACAACCTTGCCAGCAGCACTGAGGAGCAAAAGCCTCCAGCAGGGAAACTGGAGACCACATTGCAACGGGCCAGTGGAAAATAACCCCCTTGTGCCACGTGCTTGTAAACGCACACCAGGGCAACCAATTCTGCTTCTGCATCTGGAGCTGCCAAGGGGAGCCACGGCCACAGAGTGGATTCCTTATGTGGCCAGTACGTCAGTGCTCAGCTACATGTGTAAGGATTGTACCTAAAGACCCCAGACAGAGCTAGAAAATCAGCATGGAACAGCTTCTACTTCCACATATAATCTTGAAGCAGACTAGTGAAAAAAAAAAACCCACGTCCTTTACTCTTTTCTTATAAACTAAGGAAGATGACAGCACAGAGATAAGTTTCCAACTTCTCCCCACACAACACAGACGCAGACACACGCACACACTCAGAGAGGAACCGTATTTCTTACTCCAAAACATGGTACTTTCATGGTCAATTACACCACCTCTTAATGAGTTCACAGTTAAGAGCACATAGCAACTAATAACAGGAAATGCAGAATAATGAAGCTCTACCAAATGGGGAGGTTTCTTTCAGCCCTACTGCAATTTAGTATGGACACAAAACCTAAAAATCCAATTTCAGTATGTATTCCATGAAGAAACAAACTCAGTTCTGACTTAAAAAGAAGCCTGAAATACCAAGAGAGACAGAAATGATGCAACACAGGCATGATGATACAAAGGGACTGAAATTCACCATTCAGTTTAAATAAAGAAGAAGGCCTCCTCCCTCTCAAAGTACTACACACATGGACTCAGGCTTGCAGTTACTGAAAGTGCCATTGCAATTTTCCCTACCAGATGAGGTCAGCAATTTACACTTCCTGTCCAAATTCCAATTCAAGTGCAACAATTAATTTTTACTATTTCCATTTTCTTCACTTAAAAGGGTAGAACTATTCTTTCTTGCCTTTGAAGGTATTTTTATAGTCACAGCTATAATGGTTTCTGTGCCTCATGCCAGAGCTGGTTATGTTCTGGATAAAAGAATGTCATCAAGCTACTCTCAGCCTTGTTTAAAGAATATATGCACTTTAAAAAATCAGCATGTTACAAATGAATTCTAGAACAACATGTTGTTCTCCAGGCTCAGAGTCCTGCCCTGCAAGTGGTCTAAAGTGAAGATCTTTTCAAACCTTACTGAAGTCAACGTACAACTCTTCAGCTGTGGAAGCCTGCACTGTGCACAGCTATTGCAATGTGTTTTACTGCTCCTGGGTATGTATGCACTTCACAATGCAATAGCAATCTGAATTACAGTTTTTAATCAGTTAATTTTAAATGAGCTGAAAAGAAGCATCTTTCAACTCGGTGATTAATGGTTAAACTCCAAAGCAGGAAGCAAAAGTTTTCAAATAACCTACCTCTGACAATGCTTAATTTGTGAGGTGAGAGAGGTGGCTTGGGAACGGCATCTTTCTTTTTTTTGGTTGCAACTCCTGTGACACTTCTGTTCTTGAGAACATCTGTTCCCCAAATCATAACCGCTAGATTTTTTGTATACTTTGAATCTCCTTGTGTTACTTGCAGCTGGTGCCATTTCTCCTCATCTACCCAAATTCCACTGCCAAGATGGACCTAGAAGGTAGTAATAATAACAACTTATCTATGGTATGTAGCACACAACAGTATCCAAGTGCTAGGAACATTAATATTAGGAACTAAAATAACAGTAATTAGGGCTGAACAAATCCATTTTGCCTAACTCTGAAACTTTTACGACTTTGTGGGTCAGGGAGTTCAAGTCAACCTCAATATATAATATAGTTCCTTTTAGTAATCCCTACTTTTCCCCCCCACATAACCTCTCTCCTGAAAGACTGTGGTCAGGAACAGAGATCGAAGAAGGAAACAGTGAATACATCCAGTATTATATAATTATGCACAGCATATAAACCAAGCAGTTGCACCAGCCTAATTCAGGAGCAAGATTAAACACTTCCTTTTGGCTAAAACAGACTTTACCCAAAGCACATTTCAGAGGCAGTAGAGATGGAATTACTTCCTAAATTGTATTCCATACCTGTTGGCAAGACCCAACCTGATTGTATGAAGTAACTGGAAGAGGAGAAAGGATTTTGAGAGCTCCAATTTCAATATAAGCCACAAGAGTTTGGAAGCTTTGTAAAACTTCCAGCTCTAACACAAAGTGTTAGATCAATGTGAATGCACCACATGAATACTGTTTTGTGGTTAGGCAATGACCCATTGCAGCAACATCATAAACTTTCCATTATCCAAACAATGGGAAGTCAAGGTATTTCACTGAAGTACTAAAGCAGGATAACATGGGTACTGGGAAACACAGTGTGAAGCCACTGGAGAGAGTCCAAAAGGAAGATGCTCAAGTTTGGTGCTGCTTATTACTCTTGCTCAGCACTGACTGTGCTTGATTGTCTCCCACAGGGCAACCCTATGTCTGTACTCCAAGAATCCCAGTGCTCCAGTTTTAAGACAAATGCCAGACAAGAATCTGAGCACCATCCTTGGCTGCCACTACGTGTTTGAGCTGCCAGCCCTGACACTCAGGACACCTTCTAGCACCAGCAGAGGTAACTCCACGAGTAACCAGCACAAGTCTGACACAAGTGCAATGAGGACACACACGCTGGCCCTGCATGGAACCACAAATACTTTGCACCCTGTATGTCCATGCTCCAGTTCCTGGAGTACGGTGCAGACTCCTGAACTACCTCTGCACACAGCAAGCTTTGCTCACATGGTGATGGACTTCACTCACTGGGACACACACTTGCTCTCACCCTAACAAGCTAAAGTGTGACCTACACCTCCCAGCTGCTGATCACAGCTCACTGCTCTTACCTTCAGACAATCTGGACAAGTGCAACATACCAAACAATTGGATAGCTACATATCCAAAATCTAGCTTTGATTAGATGTGGTCCAATGGGGGTTCTTTCTATAACATTAACACTTAAAACTAACTTTCGACCTTATGATTAAATAAATACCATCAACAAAATCCCACAGCAAAACTGCATCAGAAGAGTGTTTGCCTTAACTGCTCTGCTGTTAGTTTTCTGTGGTTTTACTCAATTCATCTGGCTTTAAATAAACTGTGCCTGCTACCCATACAAATCTGAGCAGTATCATGGAAGTCTCATTAAATGCAATGAAAATTGGACAAAGCTACTGTAAAATTTTATATACCAACATTTTACTGCTTGTATTCAACTGAATACCATTTTTCCTTTAAATGGAAACCTGCTTTAATTATTAATGAGGACTATAACCTCAAGAAATTTTTTATTACAACAGCATCCTTCAAAAGCAACTAGATGTTTAAAAACTTAAATAGAGTAATATGACTGGTTTGACTGCAAGCTATGTTATATTAAAAAAAGAAAACTCTACCTTCCTTAAAGCATAAAACCATGCAGCAAGCTGACTCTCCTGCAGAATCTTTTACACTAAAGGGATTCTAAGAAGCTTTTCACAAGTCTGCATGGACAAAAATTAAACTAGTAATAACCACAACACAAATACTCTTTTTTTTTTTTCCTTTTTCTCTGTTGTTGAGCCTCTTCATAAATGATTTTTTTTAAAGGTACACTCTTTTTGGTGCTCTTTACATGTTTTGTAAGGCAACTTCAATGAGGAGTAAGTAGTCTGTACTGAGAAAATAATCTCAATACATTTTTTAATTCAGTTATTTATGGTTAGATCTTGAAAAATTCTCTGGGAAAATGTCTGAAAATTACCTAGAAAATAAGTATGATTAGAAATGTTGTGACACAGCAAATTTTGGGTGTCAGTATTACATTAGTTGTACAGATTGTTGTATTTCATCAAAAATCCAAATCCTCTCTGCCAAAAAAAGGGTTTGCCTTTGCCACAGATTATTTAGTCTCTAAAGCTACTACATTATTCATTAGCTTGAAGTGACTCAAAATAAAAGAAAAAGTCACAGGAAGTATTTTTAATATTTATGCTTCAGACAGATCATCTCTTCTTTTAACATGCTTCATTTATTAAAAAAGCAATTGCTGGTATGAAACACCTATGGCAACAGCAACTATGTGACAGACAGCCACAGCCACAGCAATCTTACATCTCCCTTTTTCTATTTCCAGCACTGTTATGGTGAGGAATTCAATCTGCCTGTCTCAGTTTACCTCTTTGCAACAGGCCTGGTACTGTTTCCTGTCAGTCCCAAAGCTCCGGGAAGTTTACTGTACTTCACACTCCGAAGACATTCCCTTCTTGCCGGAAGAGCTGCCCCATGAGCCAGACTCTTGTCTTGATGAAATCAATGGGAAATTTACTCCCAATTTCAGCAACTGTGGGATCAACCTTCAAGCGGCAGCGAATTCAAAGCAACGCTCACCAGCGTGGCTGAGCTAACATCTGCAACAGATCTAAAACGTGTCTCAGAAGATGAACTCTTTTTTTCCCCTCTTTCTTCTTCTTTCTTTTCTTTAAATGAATGCCATAGGCTCTTTTTCAGTGACTTGGTTTTCCCTCTGGAGGGAAGAGATTTATCTGCTCTGAAAGAACCCTACTAAGATCAAATCTGGTGCCACAAAGGGTAAGATTTGTAAAAAAAGTATTTCGACTACTCTAGTGGTGCATATCAATAAAGGAATACTGAAATAAAGCCGTAAATAAGGAAAACTGAAGAAAACTACCCTCCAATACTGCAAATACATTATTAGTTCACATTTTTGTCATCTGAGCTGTCTGTAGACCCAGTAAATAGGCAAACCAAGAACCAAAATTACAGAAAGAAAATTAAAGAGATATCAGTATCTGTTAAGACAGAAAATTTCAGCAAAAGAAGTGCCAAGAAGCTGACAGATGAAAAAAGGTGCAGGAAAAGCTGCATAGAAATACTAAAGGATGCATCCTATCCCATAGATCTTAAGTGGAAGAGAAGGAGGTAAAGGAAACTCACACAGTAATACACCCTAAGTACTCATTGCACAAATTTACACAAAATAATCAAGCAAATGACGTATTTAAATATATTAGGCAAGAAAAGCTATCTGAACCAAATACCTGTCAAACTGTCAAGATTCTACTATTTTTCAAGTATATTCTGTCCTCAATGATTATGTTGAATTTTTCTTCAAGAGGGACAGACATGGTGCAGTCAATCTTCTAACACAAATCAGAAAATGCAGTTTCATGCTATATTCCATCAGTAATTCCACTGCACAGCAAAGCTGGAATGAATGTTTCCTCCCTAAAGATTCTCAGATTAGGGTACCAAATGCATCTATATACACCAAGAAACAGGATCTGCACAGGCAATTCTGAAGGAATTACAGTTTTGTATAAGAAACATCACATTTATTTAATGATAATGAAAACAGCTGTAAAAGCAGGCCTAGGTAGATGAGCAGTTAATGTGTTAAACACACTGAAATCTGAAAAAGCTCTCAGTCAGGTTCTGGCAAACTAGAGCTAGATGGTATTTCAGCAACTTCACAAAGTCTCTGGAAAGTAGCACTACATCAGTTCAATTCAGTGGCAATGCCCTTCCCCAAGGGAGCTCATTTTCCTTCCAGGGTTCATAAATACCTCCTGCACTCCAACCCAAACATGAGGGCTTCTCTGCAATATGGCCACAGCGCATTATAAACATTAAAAACCTTTTAGGAAGAAGTATTTTGGTTAAGTAGACTCATGTAACTCTATAACGTGGGTTACTGACTTTGGTCAATATTTGGTCTATTTAGGGTGCCACCAACTGAAGACTATGTCAATTTGCCTGTGCATGAATATTTATTTAGTAACTATATTCCTCATGTTGCACAGCACTCAATGCTCTCACCACTGAAGATACTTTTCTATGCTCTTCATATCTGTGTAACTTCACAATTCTCAACACAACAGCACACCTGCATGAAAACTGAGGAAGCTTCTACAAGCTGCTACCATGCAAAACCCCCACAATCAATGAAAACTCCACAAGAACATCACCAGATGGACATTTAAAAATGATTCATGCTATATGTAATATAAAATACCTTTCCATTCTCGAGAATATACTTGTCCATTACTGGAACAGGGGCAGGGAAGTACGTTGATGTATTTGCTTCCTCACTGAAGGTCTTCTGTACCTCAGGTTCGGGCTCAATTGATTCAGGTTTTACTTTTTCAACCTCAATGGCAGGTCCTAGACAGTTAAGAAAAGAGAGCTGTCTGCTATCCCAGAGAACATGAAATCAATCCCTTCATCACCCATGATTAGCATAAAATAACATATTAGTCATGTTCATTTTAGTGTTAGAAGTAATTGAAACCAAAACCCTACTTCTGAACATCAGAAACTAAACACAGGATAAGTATCCCTGCTTTATAAACATTAAAATGTTTAATTTTAATTTAAGTGTTTAATTTTATTCCTAAAGCATAAGGACAATTACAGATATGGGTAAGATTTCTTCAATTCACACTAAGAAAATTATGTTAAAACGACACTGAAATTATAAACCAAAAGCAACAATAGTAATTCTTCAAATAAGAATTGCTATATAGTTGCATAGGAACCTGCATAATTTACTGTGATAATTACATAAATTATCCACAAAGAATTACAAATATTATAGAAATCCAAAATCTCTTTAGATGTAACAGAAGTGTATAAAAATAGGGAGGATCTGCAGAAATGCTATGAAGGAAACAGACTTAGGTTCTTTATGCTGAAGTACCTTGCAAAGAAAGAATATCAAATGTTAAAAAACCCCACATAAATTAGGATTTTGATTGTCCAATTAATTCAACACTGATTTTTGTTTTTAATCAACAAAAATTATGCACAAATTAAACAATGGAATACAACTAAGCATATGTTTGAGACTTTAAAGGGGGATAGTTATTTTGTTAGTTATCAAGTTTTCTTTTCCAGATCGAAGTTATAAAACGTTCCTAAAAGGACAGAAGAACAAACTAAAAATAATTTGTGAACTGGATTTCATGACTCCATTTATTGCAGGGCTTCCACCAGAAGTCAAGGCTATGGCCCAAAGCCTATCAGTGTCCCTTGATGTGTGGCTCTAGGATCCCAAGAAGCTCCATCAGGCATTGAAGTTCCATGTAGGGCCGGTGGCTCCACAGCACAGCAAGGCTGCCAGCTTGGACAACTCTGGACACCATGGAAATACCCCATGTCCAGAACTCTAAGGATAAACTCTTGTCTAAACAACTTGTCAGTGCCAGATTGTCCCAGGCTGGTGCTGAGAGCACTGCACTACCCTGCTGTCCAACCCTGACATCTTCAGCCAGTGACAACCCATTCATCAGTCAGGTCACCCCTCAGCTCCCTGCTCAGTGTTTGTGCACACAGACACAGACCTGAACTGATCCAACTCTGCAAGTCACGCTGGCACCACAACTCAGGTCTTAGTCATGCATCTTAAATAGTTCTGTGCCTGGAACAAGCACAGCATTCATCCCTCCTACTTTGTGCAGTTTCATTTAGAGATTATTATACAGCAACAGCAGTGCTTCATCCGTTGTCAGCATTTGACATTTATCCTATAGCTTATCCTACACCTACATAGCCAGTTAAATGTTCTCAGCTGGCTGCCACTCCACGCTCACCAATGACTAAAAGCTGTCTTGGCAACTCAGACAATCCTCCACTGCAGTACCACCAACAAGAGAGTCTTAAGAGCCACCCCAGCACAAGCATGGCACAAACAGAGAAATCACAAAACATCCCATTTGCATTATAATTTCACAGTGATCTTAGTAAGCACCTCTAGTACCAAGAATATACAACAGTACAGCCAAGACAAACTGAACTTCCTAAACTTGAGACTGTAAAGCTCATTCAGACTGGAGGAAGACCTGGACTGGTTAAAGCACTCAAAGCTTGCCCACAGCATGGGCACAGCTGAACAAGCAGATGCAGGGATGTAATTGCCAGTGTGACCTTAAGAAGTCATCTCTGGAGCTGTTAGTTTACATTCTTCAACAAAGGGCTATTTTCTTATACTTTGAAAGTCACTTCAAGGGAGACACCTAAGTTTAACCACCTTCTTCCTAGCAGGAAACGTTTATTTCCCTTTAAAAACTTTTACTACTCCCTATTTAGAAGTCTTTTACTGTTTTTAGTCATATATTGACACAGCTGGAATTTGGTTTCCAGAGCTTCCCCAAGGAAAAAGCTGATTAAAGTCCACAACAACCACAGCTCTCACAGGTCAGAATACCTCTGCTCCAATCATGCTTTAACTACTTGCTTAGACATCACCAAAAGAAAGCCTTTAAAATCTCTTCTCTATATCCTCATTTTTGATTCCCAAACAGAAGCCTGCCTCTAACCAGGCAGTCACCACAGCCACTTCCACAACCACTAAACTCTCCATTTTCAACCCTGCATGCTGTGAATTGCACATGCAACCTGCACTCCTGCCTGCCTGTCTGCCAACAGAGCGGTGTGCCCCATTCACCACAGTCCAAATTCCCCCTCTCTGCATCTTATTTTAAAGATGATGGATGGGACATATAAAAATATATACCTCCATCTAAAGGCTTAACAATGACAGCACTTATGTAACAAGGATCAGGGGAAAAAAAAAAAAAAGACGATTTTCAGAATGTAAGAAGGAAACAAATGTTTTATTGCAAAATCTTTCTCCTGGCTGCAGTTTTTTTATAATATCCAAGAGGCCAGCAAATTCAGATCAGGATGAAGAGCTAGAAGGCTTCCCTTTACCATCCCTTTTCCTCAAAAATTCATCTTGGGCTACATGCTACTCCTAAAATTAGTAAGAAAGTAAAAACAAATTGACTGATAAAGTGTCAGCATACATTTGTAAGATAGTTTTTGTCCATGGTCTACCAGAATTTGAAACAAAACAACACAAGACAGAGAAGTGGTAATACTGGTACTTCCTGTACTTGATAGAAACCTTGGGCCTTTTTTTTTTTTTAACATCAAAAAGCCAAAAAACAGTAATTCCTGACATGTGGTAAGACACAAATCCCATTTCATTCTCCCTACACTGGTGTCAGTCCCAAAACACTGTAAACTGGATCACTGAAATTCAACTGGGATTAAAAATAAAACCTTGGGGGTCTGCGTGCACATGCTGATGAATCAGTTTCTGAACGAATGTGAATACACTCCCTGACTTTGGAGCAACACTAATTCTCAGCAATATAATATGAAAATGAAGAAATTATCAGGGAGCTAAAAACGCCCAAGCATTATCCCTATAGAACTTCAGTAGTGACCATATTTCCAGCCACAGGGAATGACACAGATCTTGCCCAGGAGACAGTTATTTTTTTAAAGAAGTAATTGAAAGTCTTCTTTTGCAATCCAAGGGCTATTTAAAGTCCCTACAGGGGAGAGTCGGTTATTTAATTCTTTAAATTATCTTACCCTCTATTGAGAAAAAGATGGCAAATTAGGTGTGTTTTCAGGTGCAACAAAACAAACTGCAAAGGCCTACAGCTGCAGGGCTTCCAGTTGCCCACGTGGGCAAGGCAAGAGGCTGCACACATTATTCCAGGAGCTCAAGAGGGACACCACAACCTTTTCCACAACAGTCACCCCATTTTTCCACTGCTCTGGCTCCCTAGAGCCCTGGTGAAATGCCTGCCTCTCCGTGAAGGGATGTGTCAAGAAATAATAGACTTAAAATCATAAAGATAATATTAAGCATTTCTCCATGGCTGCCTCCAAGGCTCTTTTGTGACAAAGAGCAATTCGTGTCACCATGAGGAAGATGAAACCTCCTCACTCCTGCCACAAAAGTGGATCCAGTTTAGTAGCAGAGCTGAAGGCCTAAGTCTCAAGTACAATACATTGACTTCGAGCTCCTCACTGAATTCAACAAGTTGATGGGAAATTAGGAGACTGACTACTTGACTGCACGTTAGCTCAAGAGACTGTTCTATATTTGATCTGCAAGTTTAAAATGGCAACAGGCAAGCATTTCCCACAGCTGCAATTCATCAGCACAAACCAGCTGTCATCTCATGCAAAGAAATCACAAGTCTCTAAGGTGAAACAGAAATGCAATTAGTTTGCATTAAGTCCAGCCTGCTAGAAGTGCAGTGTAACATAAATTACATGTAATTTGAAACTCCAGGTTTAAGAGATCACTGCAACTGCAGATGAATTTAGGATGTAATTTATTTTCAGAACAATTTTCAGAGATTATTCATATACCCAAACATACCTCATTTATAAGCTGGAAAAGTAAGGAAGACTAAAAGAGTCTTTACGTATCTATTCTTGATTAAAAGTAGTACTTTTTCATACTGTCATCAGACTCGCTAATTTAGAACATGCTGAAGATGTCTCCCTTGCTAATTATTCATAAGTTTTGTATTGCTCTTTCTAGAACATGGTTGTTTCTCTGCTGTGAATGAGGCTAAAAGGAAAAACAACAGGGTGAGCAACAGTTAATACACCGAGTCTTAGGAAATACAAACCCTGTGAAGGACAAAGCCAGCACGGCCAAATTCCACCTTTACCATCCAATGTTCCTTACAAGGAATACCAACAAGGAATTTTTTTGGAAGTGTTGGATAGCTGATATTTTTCCATATATGTGATTAAATTTAAAGAACTTGTCTTGAATGTAATTGGGATTTGTTTTCAGTTGTCACACTGATACACACAAATAGAAATTCATGCCCAATATTTAGAGAAGATTCAGTATTTTTCTCCCAGGATTTCTTTTCCTATTTCCCTTTTTTCCCTTTTTCTCTTAAGGTTTCTTTATGTGGCTGAAGCAAAAAAAGCACATCTTCTTTTTCTTAAAGTGAAAGAAAAGAGACAGAATTCAGTAGCTGTCTTCATTGCACTGCTGGTCTCACCACTCCAACTGCTGTCAAGTCTACCAACTAAATTGGTACTTTACGTTGTTCAGCCCCATTGCCTACCAACATCTGGCTCGTGCTCCAGTCCCATAAATTCCACCTAACTACTTGCAGATGAAGAAACATCTTTCCATCCAAGGAAAATTTTAGAAAGCTCAGTGGAATCTCCTGCCAGCCACATCGTCTTTTTCAGGCTGCGGCAACATCGCCTATTTAGTTTTATTTAGAAAGTTAACTAGAATGTTTATGGTAAGTAACGATGTTTTAATTGTGCACAGTGTAACAGTGATGAGCATTCACAATCAGACACCCAGTTTAGGTTGTGGGACACTCGAAGAACCTGGCTCCAAGGGTGTGGGCACACCTGAACACATGCTACAGCACAGGCACATGCTCTCCCAGGTCCAGTTCTGTACGTGAGGGTAACTCAGACCCACATGCAAATTGCATGCACTCGTTCCAGTCCAGGAGAAGAGCCAATATCCAACTGACATGCAAAAATTAAGTTTCCAGATACACAAAGGCAGACGTAAGAATGGCATGCTAAGTTTGGATGCATAAATTTCAACCAAGTTTCAGTCACCGAGCAAATCTTCAGCACAGTACCACATTCAAATCGCAAATAAATCAATTCATCAAATTTTTGAAGGTATTCCAAGGGTACCATCTTCAGTGAAAAGGATGAACTTTTTATTTTGTCTTTTTTCCCATTTATTCCAACATAATGCTTAAATAATTGTTATAAACCCAAACAAAGGAGCAATTGACCCAAGATATTTAAAACTGAAATCCAAGTTACAAAAAAACTGCATTTTGCAACAAGTGTTGATAAATGGGACACTAATATAAAGTCGTCTTAATTATGCTATTAACAATCCATTGTTTTTCAAATAGCATGGCTTTTTAAAGCCACTGCTAAAACTTCAGGAATATATCACATTCTAATAAGCTACTAATGGGAAAAGGGGTCAGAAAATGGAAGGTAACATAGTCACATAACAACAAACAAAACCCCTAACTGCAAAGGATAAATTAGTTTAAGCCCAACTATTCATTCCAGCACCTTTTCTTATCTTGTTTTTTTTAAACTGGAACATATTGGTATATTTTGCAGATGATGCTTTATTAACTTTTTCAGCATATATTGGAAGGTCAGAGAGTTTTTATAATACAGCTGCTTAAAATGGAACTCTGATTCAGCCATACCAGCACAAAGACTTCTAGTTTTTAAAGAAAACCCCAGACGTACATAGCATACAAATTCAACACATATTGTACAGCCACAGCAGAAAACCCTTTTAACATTCAATGTCCGGTTTAACAACCACTGCTATTCTTCAAATACATTTCCATTACTATTGATAACACCTGCAAAATTCATTCAAACTAGTCCCACTTAAGTCCGGCACTTACCACTACCTAGTCTTAGGAGCAGTACATCCTGGAGCCTCCTGTTCAAGTCTCTGAGCTCTTTCATTTCTGACACGAGTGCCCCATACTCCTTTAGCTTCTTTGCCTGTTGCACAAGCTGTCTCCGCGTTCTCTCAAGCTCCTGTTGAATGTGTCTCATTTCTTCCTGCTGCTGCTGGTAACTCCTCAGCAATTCCTCATAGAGAATCCGAGGAACTACAGCATCGTCCATACTGTTCATGCCTTCTGTAGCCTCCATAAAAGCCTCCTCAGGGCTGGAAGTATTACTGAGACTCATCCCGTTCTGTTTTTCAAGGCGAGCAACAACTGCTTCAATGCTTTTGTGTGTACCTTCACTTTGTTTCCTCCCATCTTGTCTCTGCACATTACAATAAAAAACAAATAAATTAGGTGAGTCTCAGGAACTGTTAATATGCTTGTCTTCCAAAAGACTAAGACAAAGCCAGACTGCAAAAATATTTTGCTTAACAAGTTCTTATGGATATAATATGAAGCATAACTAACATGAAGTTGTAACTCAGCTAAATGCATGCACAAACTTCTGAGGCAGTTAAAGGCCTTCCTGCATTTGTGCAACACTGACAAAGGCAGCGTATATAGGTCACTTGATTCTGTATCATTAATTTCTTTTTTGAAAAAGTTGATCTAGATGTCTTTTTCTTTAAAGTTTACCCTTAACATTCAGATTTCTGACAGCAATTGATTTTCTGATAAGCAAGAGAAAGAACGAACTGTGTGCTCCATTTGTCACCTGTGACGACATCAGAGGTGAAAGCAGCACAGGCACAAAGCTGTTCTGTGAACTGAGGGCTTGTCCTTCCCACACTTTGAGAGACAAAACCTTCACTGACTATCCCTACAGCACGTTCACCCAACTGCCTGATGCAAGTGACTGAGTTAACACTATCAGCAAACACTGAAAGGGATTTGAGAACACCGAAGCTGGAGATAGAATATATCATCCAGCCTCATCTTCCTTATCAACTGATTCCTTCTATATTAGTACTGCATTGCAGAGGCTTCAGGACCTGGGAACTCTCAGTGGAATTTTACCTTCAGTCATCTGCACAAACCCTACAAATTAAATCACACTACTTTCCTGGGGTCTGGATAGTAGGATTAATATGTACAGGTAAAGTCACTAAGTTTTACTGGCCAAACAAGAAAAGGCACTTGAATTTCCAAGCAACTGCAAGGAAAGCAAATGCAGCTCATAAGAGTAGTGGTGAGAAGCTGACACTATCTAATTCCCGTACCACAATATCCATGAGTAATGTGACAGAAAACAAAATTATTTGATGTTGCACCTGCTGCATTTGTACTCTAAAAAAAAAATAATTAACAATTAAAAAAAAAAAGCTGGCCCACTACAAGGAAATGAACTATTATCACTCCTGCAGCTGCAAAACACATTAAGCCATAGAGCAGTATCTTATTCTGAAGGTTGGCAGACTTTTAAAGAAATAGTTTAATATAAAAAAATAAATATATTTCCATAGTGGGTTTCTGGCATTTGAACCTAAAAAGGCAACTGGGAGTAATAATGGAGGGTACAGTCCTGTCAATTCTTCTTAGTCACAGCTGTAGTTGGGCAGTCTCAGAGCACCCCTCCCAATTCCAAACAAGCAGTGAGCAGTATGTCACAAGTGCCACCAAGAACTGGTACAGTGGGGTACTGGTGACTTTTAAGGCATTCTGAGCCAAAGTCTCAGGTGGCAGTTACACTGTGCAGACACTATGCACAGGAAAACTGATTGCACTTAAATCAGGTTTTGAAAACACATACCCCACCCCTCCACACACAATGTGACCCAATTTCACCAAACACACTGTTTTAAGGGGATCAAAAGCAAGAATGGAATTCTTAAGGTAGAACATTCATACATGCCCCAAGCACTGACAAAAAAGATAGAAAAAGGTGAGGAGGGAAAATAAACCAGAAAGGCTTCAGTACCTTACTGTGTCTAAGCTCCACATCTTCTTCCCCATAATCTGCGACTTCCCCAGCTTCTTCTACGTGATTGAGAGAGAGTTTGGGGATTTTAATTTTCTTCTGCATCACACTGTTCTCAAGGTCAGTTTTGTCCTCTAAAATGTATATTAAAAATAAGGTTTTGTTACATTAATCAATGTTCTTACTTCAAAATACTACATGACTTAAGCAAGACCAGTTACAAAAACCCAACCTCCCATCCTCCAATCACCTCATAATACCATGATCAAATTAGTCCATGGTGTAAATCCACTGATGCCCACTGGCAATTCTAGAGTTTCAAATGGGGATCAGTCTGGCCCAACACACAAATAAATACAAAAAAATGCCAAGCTAAATTCAAGCAATCAAAAGTGCTGATGAGTGGCTTGTGCTATCTCCAAAGTAAGAGTTAAAGAGGCTGTAAATAAAACTTCCTGTATTTCTCTAAATTATGTTTACCAATGGTATTTTCATATTCATAATCCATTGCTGCAGTTCAAACTATGCTTAGGGTTAAAGTGAAAATAAACTTGGTAATTCATCCCATACTCTAACCATCATCTGTCAGCAGCACAGATCTATTTGCACACATGGCAGATTCTGCTATTCTGCAAAGTGCAGGGCTGGAAAAGGGAATGTTGCTGGAGAGCTTCGAAGTGCATTACACAAACGTTGCATAAGAACCAAATCTGTAACAAAATTACTCCACAACCCTATTTCACCAATTAATGGCATTCATCCTTTTCCTTTAGATACTATTGGCAATGGCAGGAAATATTTATATGAATCTTTGAATCTCATTAAAAATTTGACATAATTTTTTTACATATCTCAAAATTAGGTATTTAAAAATATTAATCTGAAAATACATTCAAAATATTTTAATATTCCTGAAAAGGTAGGGAGGGGACAGTGAACCAAGAGTACAGACTCCCAAAATGTGCCTGTGATAGGTCAAATTCTTGCAGAACAGACAAGGTCTGAAAAGATTCATTTCCTTCTGGCAGTGTCAAGGAGAATTGCATTCAAACTGTCAAGCATTGCCTTCATACACGGAAAGTTTATAAACAAGAAAATATTTTGAGTCTTCTTATCCACCTGCAAATTTTATTCTGCAACATGTCCCATGAATATTTTTGAAAGTGCCAAGGAGGATGGCCCCCATGAGTGCTTAGTTGCATTGACTTTTGCTTTCTCAAATTAGCATCTCTCCACAGGACCTCAAAATGGTTCATGTTGACAGTGTAGGAAAGGAAACAAAGGTAAATCACTGTTTAATGAGGAGCAAGGCATTCATTAGAAATGAATTACACAGATGAATGCAATTCATTTTGTTACAGATAGAAATGGATCTCTTGTAGGCAAATGGTGATATTACAGCCCAAGGCTATGTAAAAAGACTAGGCAAAGAACATGCAGAATGAGACATTAGACAACCTGAAATGAAACGCAGATGGTAGCAATAAATACTAAGACAGATGCAAAAAGAAACAGATAAACAACAAAAACCAGCTAGGCTTATTTTAGATCATTCTCCATTCCCCAGAGCATCGTGGATGCTTATCCCAGTAAAACAAAAAGGCAATCCAACTGTTTCAGTTTTGAAAAATAAACCCCTATGTTTTCATTTATCTGGAAAATGTAGGTTCATCAGTAAAGTGAGATAAGCCAATTCTAATGCCAGAGAGATGAGAAGAAAATATGGGAGCCTTTCCCAAAAAAACAAATAATACAAACTTCCAGACTAAAGGGTGGACTGATGGGTATTGGTATTTTCTTGGAATTTAAGAATAAATGAATCCATATTGAAAAGGGCAAAAAAAGAAAACCACCAACATTTTCTGTGTTTATGTATTTTGGGGTATTGAATAGATTGAGGAATCCTTTACTAAAATATGTTCTCTCAGTTCCTTGGAGGAAGAACAGCACACGGATACTGCAGAGCCAGCTTCTCCAGACTGCTCTGCCAAACCATCTTCCATAGGACATGCAGACGACCTCCTTCTTCACTGAAAGAATTCAGGCCAGTTTCTGTCCTCTGAAAGAACCCTTGGCCTCACAACTAAATGGACACAATCCCTTACTTAACACAGTTAACAAATTTGTCTGCTGACAACTCATTGAGGTCACCAGAAGCCAGAACCACACACCAACTGGACAGGGACACAAGCCATCCTCCCCATGGCAGGGAAAAGTGACTCTTGAAACAATCAAGGACAGGGGTCACAGAGGAGTAAGTGCCTGTGCAGGCTGGAGAAGTCAGCAAATACTTTCCAGTGAATAAACCAACACTAAACCAGAAACAATTCGGAAGAACAGTAATATTTATCTTTGATTTTTGCTTTTTAAGTCAATTCATAATGGTTAATAACACATTCTATGCATTTAACAGTGAAAATGAAAGAAAATACTTAGTTTGGGGTCAAAGAGAACAAATGTAAATTATCAGAATTCTTCATTCTCTTCACTCTCCACTCAATATCAGTTTGCCTATGAAATTTATGTTTGCAAAACTTTACTGGTTGTTTATACATCTCCTTACAAATGTTTCATTTGTACATTGCTAGCATGTAACTATCAACACAGTTCTCTTTCTGTTCATTTGACTTTTTAGTTTTACTGCTTATATGTACATGAACCAGTAAGATGAAAAGAGGAACTGTTTTCTCCACACACAAAATTTGAAGAAACAATGAGTTTAAATAAGTTAAAGCTCAGGAACTTTCAATGCACTCAGTAAGCAAATAAATGTTCCTCTGCCTTCCAACAACAATACACATAATATTTTTTTACATATGCTCTGGTCTTTGAAAGCTTATTTATACCTAACACAATCCATCCAGTGTGTTGAATATGAAAAGGCCTTTTGTTCTTTTTCTTTTTTTTTAAAGTGCATTTCTAACCTCTGTTGTCTTCTGCATTAGCTGCAGATACAGCCAGAAAAATCTCATTCTGAATTTGAGATTAATGTTGGAGTTCTGGCTCTTGTTCTGTAAATATTAATGGCATTTGGGAAGGGGTGGGAGGGAGAGAGTGGAGACTGGGGGAAGGGTAGGAGAGAGACATGAGCATGCATTTATAGCAGTTCTCCTTAGGATTCTCTGTCTGTTGTTGTGGCAGCAAACAAAAGACAGGTACAAAAGCAGAATCCAGCAAAAACCAAGACACCTGTGATTTTGAGCCAGAAGAAAACCAGGATAGGAACCAAATATATGTACAAGCTGCAATTCGGTGCCTGAGGCTACAGAAGAGAGAGAGGGGCAGCCTAAAAGCATTGTAGCTCAGAGCCTCATTTTGTAATAACCTAAATCATTTGTCTGGACTTTGTTCCCAGTCATTTAAACCTTGCTAGAAGTTAAAAATTACACCTGCCCCTAGGTGGCTATGATCAGCTTGTTATAAAGTTGTGTCTATTGTTTTCCCTAGATATGCATTGAGTGGTTCAGTGATATCAATTACTAAGAACTAGCACTTAACATACTTAATTAGGCACTCGTAACAAAATATGCAGGGTGGAATGCACAATACGAGAATGGATTCCCTCTGTTCTTTAGGAAGGGACAATCTGAAAGGCACATGTAAATTAGGAAAAATTGCTTTTGTTCACAGAGAACCTGGTATTCTGTGATTCAAGATAAAGAGTAAAGCATGCTGAAATAACCATACTCCAAGAAAAGGTTAGACTTGGAGAGATCTTGGCAGTCAGCTCCTCATGGTACTGAGGCACAGGGCTCAAGAGCCAGGGCACATGACAGTGTCCCTCCCCATCCAGGCTTCTCCCGAAGCTGAACCAGCAGTCAGGAAAAAGTCAACTGCTGAGGAATTCCAGGGTGCCTGGGAACACGTTTGGCCTCAGCAGTGCTCAAAGAAAGCAAAGCTAAAAAAGCAACACTGCACTAGAAAAATCTCTATCAACTAGCAAAGGATAAATTGTTCCTGGAATGCTTTCTTCAATGAGGCCCTCATTTCAGTGTCAGATTGGTGGATCCAGGTCTAAAGGTAACAGCTTAAAGTCTAGAGGGGAAGGGAATTGAGGCAGAGAAAGCAACTTTAACAGGGCAGGGAGTTGGTTAGATCCAAGGAGAAATATGTTAGTGCTCTAAAACAGAAAATCCTATTGTGGGATGTAAAATGAAACTCTGAAAATCTCAAAGCCCCCTTAAAGGGTTCCTTACTTTCTAATTTAGAAATAAGGACTGAAAAAACAAATCCCTTCAAAAAAGAGCTCAAAAGCTGATTTTTTTCCATCTTTGGAATGAAAGCTGGAAAAATAAAGGAAGAGAGCTCTGCACTCCAAATGGATGAGGGACAGCAGGTCTGGTATCAGTCCAAAGAAGGGGCTTGGCAATGCCATAAATCTTACAGTAATAAAATGAAAGAACCTTGAACAGAATTCGTCCTTCCCCTAAGCCTTCAAAAAAATTCCACTCCTTTTGAAAAATGATATGCTGACAGATGAAAAAACTTACCATCAGCCTTCCCATTTCCAGCACATATGGACAACACCTGCATAAGATTCCCTACACACTGCTGCACTGAACTGGTTTAGTACTGACTCAGCCAGGTTCCTTCTACAGAGAAGGTAAGATCACCTGCCTGGGCAGCCTGTGCACTGGTTACAGATAAGGAAAAGCAAAAGATGCAGAAGAACCAAAGCAAACACACTAAGCACAAACAGGGCATGGATTCCTAAGTGCCACTTACACACAAATAAACAATATTCAGTACTGCTGTGACTGGGAAGGAAAACAGCATGATAATAATAATATTTTTTAAAAGACACCTAGCTTATTTAAAGCTTGAAAAAAAAAAAGAACTATAAATTACTTTCTTAGCTAATTTAATGCAAACATTAAAGGAGGACTTGAAGAGGAAGACGAGATGAGATTTCAGGAAATGTAATGATCCTGCAGGCTCAGAAAGATATTCAGGATACAAAGCAAAAAGAAATGTGCCTCATATAAAACATCTCTGAGCTAGGAGTACGCAGAGATTACAACCACTACCAAAGAAGAAACTGAGAATGACAGTAACAAACACAGGCCAACAGACAGCAGCAGAAATGCAGAAGTTATTTGAAGAGGACAGGTGCCATCAAAATGAATGCAGCTAA